TTAAGATCATCTCTGGCCCCTTCCATGGGCAGTGTCTGCCTCTGTGAACAAGGTGGCTCCCCAGCATGGCAGAGACCACAGCCGCCCTTTGATTCAGCCCCCTGGGTTAGGGCTGGCCTGGCACCCAGATGTTCCCCAGGAGAGTCCCTCATGGTTCCCCTTATGTCCCTTCTCCCCAGGCTTGGGGACCTAATTTGGAATTCTATGGCTTTATCCTACTGCTTTGCTAAATACTATTTGGATTTTAAGGCATCTAAGAGGTTTCTCAGAAAAATGCCAATGCATTTTCCCAAGAACGAAAAAACATTTCTGAAGTTATCCTACTTCAACACCAAATTTTGTCATCCTCCGCTCCTTTACAAGCTCAAACTCCTAGCAATCACAGCATCCGCCTTCTAATGAGTATTTTCTTGATTTATGGCAGAAATGAGCAGTTATCTGCTAATAACCCCTGAGTCTGAAATGAGAAGGGATAGAGAAAATAAACCAAATTGCAAAGATCAGCTCTGTTAAATAAAGTCATTGTGCAAAGACATATAACAACATTTTCATGCATCAGATCAGCAGCAAGATGGGCTTGTCATCTGAGGTTGTAATTATTTAATACTACTTAGCAGCTGCAGAGCTCTTGGCCTGTGAACATTTAATGGACATTTGTTAATTAATTCTCAGCAGAGCCCTTCCAGCTACTTATATGCAGAGAAACTGAGGCAGGGGTGAGAGGTGATAGAGTGGGGGAAGCTCACAGAACTGCAGGTCCCTCCTCTCCACGCCCCCTTCTCCTTTATGACTTAGGCCCATCTTGAGCACCCTCCTGTCTGGGGACTTCTGGTGACCTGGGGTGGCTAAATTGCTCTGAAGCAATTCATAAACATAGGCATTGTTAAAGGAATTACTGTTCAAAGCCTGTGACTTTCCTACACAGTCAGTGGCCACTTATGTCGCACCTACCAGGAAAAGGACTCGAAACTTAAAACCTACAGGTACCCTGTGGTGGGGGCCGAGGTGAAGAGGGGCTTCAATCCTACGTCCTCACAGGTGCCTCCCCTGGGTGCCTCCAGGCCCCCACAGTAGTCTGTGTATCTTGTGGCTTGCTGTTGTCCTCAGCAGAAGACACAAGTTCCTAGACACAAGCAGCAAGGACAGGAATGGCAAACAGGACGTCTGTGTGCTGTCTGAGAAAGTAATATCCCAGCCTGTGGGCCCCATCAATGGGTACAGGCAGGAGCAGCTCCTCTGGAGTCTTTCCAGGCCCCCTGGCTCATATCCAGAGTCCCAGTTCCCCTCTCTGGACCATCAGCTCTGGCACGGCTATGGGCTGCTCCAAAAGCACCCCATGCTTAGAATAAGCCACGCTGCAGCTGGGAGCAGGGCTAGGGTCCTTTCCCCTGGCTGGGTCACCCAGCTGGTTCGTGGGACTTCCAGGAAGCAGGAAGAGCATCCCTCGGGACTGACTGTGACTCAGTGCCGTGGCTCCTTCTCTGATCTGTTTAGCCAGTGGGGGTCCTGGGAACAGGCCCACACAGAACTATATTGAAGCAACCTCAGGATCTTGTAGCCCAGTGTGTTTCCCAGCAGCACTGAGTGAGACTCTGTCCTGCTCCAGAGGCTGCAGCCCTCCTGAAAAGAGTCCTCTTCCATATTTCTTTTTCTTTTTTTTATGGGAGGGTCTCACTATATAGCCCAAGCTGGCTCAAACTTGCAATCCTCCTGCCTCAGCTTCCCAAGGGCTGGGATTAGAGGTGTGCTCCACCACACCCAGGTCTCCTTCATTTTCATCAAAATAATCAAATATAGAAGTGCCTGTGAGCCCGCCCAAGTCTCCATTTAGGTGTCAGCCCCAAAGGGGAGGGCCAGCCTCCCCTTTGCCCTAAGGTTCTACTACTTTTTCGTGTGTGTGGCTTTGTCCCCTGCCCCCACCAGTAAGATTCCAGGAAACTGGGCGGAGGAGAACCTTGCAGTGGAATTCTGGGTGATGAAAAAAATGGTGGCCCACTCAGTACCTGGAATTCAGCAGGCCCACAAGAAGACACAGAGGAGGAGGCCCAGGGCCATCAGGAAGAGGAGGCTGTGACCGCTGTGTGTTTGAGAGGCTGGACTGAGTCCTTGCGGAGACCAGGGACTCAGAGACATGAGCAAAGTGAGTGTGGGGTTTGCACAGGTGGTCAGAATGTCCTGGAAAGGAGATCACAGTCCTCTTGCTTGAGGGGTGGGCTGTACCGGGAGAAGCCCTTGTCAGTGTGGCCAAAGGTCAGCATACCTGTGTCCTAACGCCCTGTACGCAGCACAGCTGGCCCCCCATGTCCTACACAGCCATCCAGGAGACCACCAGGACACGCCTTTCAAGGTAGGGCACTGCTGGTGGCTGAGGGGGGCTGTGGCCTGTGGACTTCGGGTGTCTCAGCAGCATGTCATCCAGGACCCCTGGGTGGGGTGGGCGTGTTGAAGGCACAGATCCTTCTGTCATTCTGGGAGAAGGAAAGACCAGATGAGGCAAGGCAGTCATAGGAAGAAGTGCTATGAGCCCAGGTCAAATCAGCGTGGGTGTTCCATGGTGTGTGCGTGGCCTTGCTGTCCTGTTTGCAGACAGGGTTACGCATGTCCTCGCATGCCAGCCACCACCATCCAGTGTTCTGGGAAGCTATTAGGTCCACAGCTCCTGGGGCCCGGGCCTGGCTTCCTTTTTCTCCTTAGAGAAGACTTGATTCTGGGTTCCATGTGTCACAAGCTGCTTACTCCATATTTCCCTTTGAAATCTGCTTTCAGCTTCTGTACTGCGAGAGAAACCACCAACAGAGGTAACAGAAAATCTACAATGTGGAAAAAAATTTTAGCAGCTGTAACTCAGACAAAGGGCTACCTAGAATATATAAAGAACTGAGAAAAAATCAGAGCCCCCCAAATTCAAAGACCCAATCCAAAAATGGGCATCTGAAGTGAACAGACATTTCTCAGACAAAGAAGTAAAAGAAGCAAATAAATATATGAAAAAATGTTCAACATCACTGGTCATTCAAGAGATGCAGATGAAAACAATGCTGAGATTCCACCTCACCCCAGAAAGAATGGCTGCTCTCAAGAAATCAACCAATAACAAATGCTGGCGGGGGTGTGGGGAGAAAGGAACCCTTCTCCATTGTTGGTGGGAGTGCAGACTGGTGCAACCACTGTGGAAATCAGTATGGAGATACCTCAAAGAACTAGGGCTAGAGGTCCCATTTGACCCAGCTATTCCCCTGCTGGGTATCTTCCCAAAAGAATTAAAAGAATCGAATCGGGCTGGGGATTTAGCTCAGTGGTTCCGCCACCTGCCTCACAAGCACAAGGACCTGAGTTTGATCCCTGGTACCAAAAAAAAAAAAGAGAAAGAATCATACCACAGTGATATATGTGAACCCATGTTTATAGCAGCACAGTTTGTAAAAGCTAAAGCTTGGAAACAGCCCAAGTGCCCATCAACTGGAAACTGAATAAAGAAAATGTGGTTTTTAAAATAAAATGGAGTACTACTCAGCCATAAAGAATGAGAAACTAGAGACATTTATAGCTAAATGGATGCATATCGAGGCCATACTCATAAGTGAAATAAATAGGACACATGTGTAAATACCCAATAGTTTCTCTAGTGTGAGAAACTGAGAGTGTAAATAAGGATTAAAAGGATTAATAATGAACAATTGATACTTTGAAATAGGAAAAGGTCCAAAGGGGTAGGAGTGGTGGGAGGAGATAGGGAAAGGAAAGAATGGAAAGGAAAAATTATGAGAAAAGAAAAAAAAAAGTGGAAACGAAATCTATGTAAATAGGGAAGGGTGGAGGGGTGAAGGGCGCATAGGTAATGGGGAAAAAATAAGAACCAAGATACATCATGTACAGGTACAAGCATCCAATGATAAATGTAAATGTATTGTAAACCTAAAATGCACCAATAAAAGAATTTAAGGAAAAAAAATGTGCTTTCAATGGAATCCCTTTTTAATTGAGCCTCATCCTGGGACAAAATTTCTAAAGTCAAAAGTCGCATGTGCCCACTGCTTTTTCTAATGCATGCTGAGATAAGTACAGTTATTAAAATAAAAGCCTGTGTGCTGCCTGAAATGATGGTGTCTGCTGCCAGGAATACCAGGTCCCACGCTCAGGAGAGCCAGGTTGGGTGACTTGGGGGCAGACTTCAGGGTTGTGATGGAGCAAAGTGCACCCAGTCTTTGATTCAGAGCCCCATCCTGTCTGACCCCACACTGTCCTCTGCCCTGGAGGCAAGCTGCCTGCGAGCTGGCTGGTGGAGATCTGTCATCTAAAGGACAGAACAGCCTCCTGTGGTGGCACACACCTGTAATCCCAGCACTGTGCAAAGCTGAAGCTGGAGGACCTCAAATTCCAACCCAGTCTGGGCAACTTAGTGATTTAACAAGACCTTGTTTTAAAATAAAAAATAAGAAAAGGGTGGGAAGGTAGCTCAGAGTGAAGATTCTGGGTTCAATTCCTAGTACTGCAATCAGTCAATCAATCAATCAAAATAAAAGTGTCTCTAGGACTTAAAGATTTCTTCAGGTTTAACAGCAGAGGATTGGGTGAACCATGGGGACAGCGTGCATGAAAGGACAAATACTGTGTGGCTCCGTTCCCAGGAGGTCCCGAGGAGTCAGATCCTAACGACAGGAAGCAGGAGGGTGGGACCCAGAGCTAGGGTCAGTGTTCAATGGGGACAGAAGATGAGAGCTCTGGAGGTGGACATGGTGACAGCTATGCACATGCCTGTGCTTAATGCCCCTGAGCTGTGTGCTTAAAGACAGAGCCTATGGCGTTCGGTTTATATCTAAGCTGTCTCCCTAAAGCCTCACATGATCATAGATATGTGGGAACTCTGGTTGGTGATTGGATGATGGGGGCATCATTCCTGATGGCTGTTAGAGGTGGGGCTGGGTCAAAAGGATTGGGTTACTGTGGGCATGACCCGGAAAGTTACATCTCCCTTCCAGCTCCTCCTTTGACTGCTTCCCGTGTGCATGCTGTGAGCAAACTCCTCTGCCATTCCTCTCCGCCTTGCCGTCCTGCCTGGGGGCTGCTGACTATGGACTGAAACATGAGCGGAAATAAACCTCTCCCCGTGAAGTTGTGGGTGTCAGGTATATTGTCCCAGGAATGAGGAAAGTAAGATAGATGGGAGATTTCATGCGATGCATGTTTTACCACAGTTAAGAAAAACAAGGGAGAGATGAATAAATGCTGTGGGTAGGTGGGGATTTACACCGTGGATCTTTCCGCTGTTTTCTCATGGTTAGAAGTTTCCATAAATTTTCCAAGGTCCCGAGTTCGATCCCCGGCACAAAAGAAAAAAAGAAGTTTCCATAAATTTTAAAAGGAATTCTTCCCACCCCCCCACCCCAGGTTCTCCCCTGCCAGTAGCTGATCTTGGCTCCATCCCAAGGGGCCTCCCAGGACCAGGGTCTCCGATGGTTGATGGCTGTTGAGCTCCAGTAGGTGGAACCTCCATGGGGAGCAGGGTCAGGTGTGAGCAGCCCTGGGCATGGGGGCCCTGCTGAGTTTTCCTTATACCCTTGGACCTGAGCCTACTCCTTTCATTCTCGAAGTTTGTGTGTGTGTGTGTGTGTGTGTGTGTGTGTGTGTGTGGTACTAGGAATTGAACCTGGGGGGCTTTCACACTAAGCCCCCCCCCCATTTTGAGACTGGTTCTTGCTACATTGCCCAGGCTGGGTTCAAACTCTTTTTTGATTTTTTTTTTTTTTGGTACTGGGGATTGAACTCGGGACCTTGCACTTTCGAGGCAGGCACTGGAACCACTGAACTAAATCCCCAGCACTGGGCTCAAACTCTTAATCCTCCTGTCTCAGCCTCCCAAAGTGCTGGAACTATAATTCTATGGCACCACCCTTGGCTTCAGTGGTCTTTCTGCCTTGGTGGACTGTTCTAGCTCTCATTCTAAGGTTGTCTGAGAAATGCCACACCGCTTTCGAAGCAAGTGTCTGGGTACCAGATTTCTCTGCATATGGCTTTGTTAACATTCCTTTGTGGATGGACAGGATGCTATGGGAACAGCATTGTGGAGGTGTCAATCCCCTGAGGGCTCCTTGTGGAGGCATCAACCTTTGGATCACACCTCCTGCTCACCTCCCTAGTTCCCAGCAGAACAGGGCGCTGGCTTCTGGCAAAGTTTAAATTTCTGTCCATTCTAAGTCTGGCATTTAGTGAAGGAAGCTGACCACTTTGAGGCCAACTAGAAATGTCTCTCCCTTCTCTATTGCCTTCATCTCTCTACTTCCCTCACCTTTTAAAAACATTGATTTTTAGCTGGGCCTGGTGGGGCACACCTGTCATCCCAGCCCTCTGGGAGGCTGAGGCAGGAGGATTGCAAGTTTTAGCTCAGCTTGGGGAATTTTGCAATTTAACAAGCTCCTATTTTAAAATAAAAAGGGTTGAGTTCAATCCCTGGTACTTACAAAAAAAATTTTTTTTTCCAAAAGAAACATTGATTTTCTACCAGAGGCTGGGCTGTGGAGAATTTTTACACTGGCAGATCTTGTTGGAACCCTGGTGCTGATCCAAGCGGCTTCTGGAAAGCACAACAAGGCGTGTTCTGAAGAAACCAGGTCTTGTGAGGAGTCTGAGTTCCATTTGTCCACATGTCCCCTGGGGTTGCTCCACAATCTCTCAAGGGACTGCTGGCCCCGGGGAGGCTCAGGGTGTAGCTGTCCCTGGACACAGGCTGTCTGTCTTCTCCAGAGTTAGCCACTTCATCCTCTAAGCTTCTGTCACAGCCTTGGAGAGAAAAACCAACCAGACAAACACCTTTTGGCCTCTGCGAACCACACTCAGAGATGTCTTGATGTCTTGCACCGGAAGTTGGTCACCATTTTGGTTACCATAAAATCTCTCCCTGTCTACTTCCTCTGGGAATTTATCACTACATTTCTGACATTTGTTGATGATAGTTGAGTCCAAGCTTTTGTTTTGTTTTTCATTGCATGAAAATATCCAAATAGTTAAAAATAAGCCACCAAACAGGGGAATGTTAGTTAGAGGTTCCAAAAATTTCCGATGCGTGGCATGAGCCGAGAAACACACTTGGAGATCAGCTTCTCACCCTGCCGGCTGTGGGAGCTGGGGGAGACCGTGTGCCTTTGTTGGAGCTCTGTGGTCCCTGCCCTCCGTTGTTTTATTAATTTTTTTTAATCTACAATTCTAAACTACTATTGCATTTATTAGAACAATAGGGAAGCTTATTGAGGTTGTATTTTTATTAAAATTTCTATTAACTTTTGCTATCAGTACAGTTGTGGATTAATTAATTTTTACTACTTTTCTAAAGCAAGAAAATATTAGAGCTGATCCCAAATTACTTGAAGTCTGAAACACGCCAAGTCAGGAAAGCACAGTTCGGCAAGAGCAACTCAGATTAGGAAGCCTTTTTCAGGGGAGGGAGGAAGTTGGCAGGGTTGGATGTTGGGGGAGGAAAAGAAGTTTCCCAGCCATCTCGGAGAAGTCCATAGTATGGTGTGGGGAGAATTCTGCCTGCTAATTCTGATAAATAAACACACATGGCTTTACTCTTTTGGTTTAGGTCTTTTTGAGGGGGGAGGGAGAGTGTATAGTTTTATGAGATTTTTAAATACAGGTGAAATGCACACAATATAAAATTCACCGTTTTAGAGTGAACGTCTATTTTTCTAGTGCTGAGGATTGAATCTAGCCCTTCACACTGAGCTACATCCCCAGCCCTTTTTAGTTTTTATTTTGAGATAGAATCTTACTAAGTTGCTAAATTGCCCCACATGGGCTCAGACTTTCGATCCTCTGCCTCAGCTTCCTAGAGTGCTGGAATTACAGGTGTGGGCCACCATGCCCACTGCTTCATATTTTGAACTGAAATACGTTAACATCTTCCAATTCCCTCACAGAAAACGGAAGAAAACACCAGCAATGCACCACCAAATGAAGCACCGGCCCACCTGGAGCCCCAAGTCAGCAGGGACAGGCTGGACACCCTGGAAGCCTGACCGAGAGGCTGGCACAGAGGAGGCCAGCAGTGCTCGTGGAATGGGATTCAAACCACCTAGCTTCCCTCCCCACCCTATTAACCCAGAAGGTGGCAGGCATTCAGGAACCAAGGGGGCCCATGTGGGGACCCATGGGCTTCTTCTTTTCTCCCATGGGAATTCATCCCCGCCCTTTTCCTGTGTGCATCCTGACTTCCTGGATGTGGTCCCCCATGTGTTCTGGGTTGAGTGATCAAAGCCTGGGCTTTTCACTGTCCTGGCCATGGCAGCTGTCACCCCACTGTTCCTGGCAATGATGATGCTGGCCATGCTCTGTTTCTGGGAGAGGGCTTCACCTTCCCATGGGTGTGAAGCTCCCCACTTGGAGTCTCCACAAAGATGTCCAGGCATGAGTCAGTGATGGAAAGCCCAGGTTGGCCAAGCTGCAGCAGGAGAAAAGGGCACAGTGCAAATGAGGTAAGGAGGATGGTGGGTAGGAAAGCCAGCCTTGTGTGAAGGCAGGCAGCTCCCGTGTGTCCCCTGCACATCTGGCACCCAGGTGTGGACTTCGCCAGCCAGGCAGCCAGCCAGCCTCTCACCCCTTCCTACAACCTCTCTGTCCTCGATGCTGCCCAAGGAATGATCTGGAGTTGTTGTCAGGGTTCCAGGAAGCCAAATGTATCGCAGCTTCAGTCCACAGATGCAAGCCTGGCTGCCTGGCCTAGGCCTCCTGGGCTCAGGGCAGAGAGACCGCTGGCTGGGAGGAGAGGACTCAAGCCTCCCTGTCCTTAGCCATGTCTGAAAATCGGGAGGTTTCCAGAGCCCACAGAGGCTGACGCGAGAAGTGGAAGTTTCTTAGGGACTTTGTTAAGAAAAGCTGCAAGAATATTCCCGCTGGTGAGAGAAGCAGCCTGGCGTCACTTGTGCCCTCTGAATCCTCAGACAGTAAATACCACTTCCTACCATTCACAGAGAGTTCTCTTTCTTTCCTTCTCTCTCTCTCTTTTTATTTTTTTAGGTGCTGGGACTCAAACCCAAGGCTTTCACACAGCTACATCCCCAGACCTTTTTTTATTTTTTATTTTGAGACAAGATCTTGCTAAATTCCCCAGGTTGGGCTTCATTTGCAACCTCCTGCCTCAGCCTCTCAGTGCTAGGATTATAGGCTTGTCCCACCACACTCAGCTCCCTCCCTCTCCTCTCTCTCTCTCTCTCTCTCTCAAGGGACAG